TCCTGCTGATTGAAATGAATGACTCTGCATAGGTCTTTAGTTTGCAAGAGGGGAAAAGAGATAAAAAGGTATTATGTTTCGCATAAACCCCATCATTAAAATAATTAAGAAAAAAATTGATTAACCTTTACTATATTTTTTAATATCCGCAAGTTTAAGTCTCATTATAATCATTAAAAATTTATATATAATATATGTAGTTCTGCATCATATAATAATAGCATTACCATATTAATTAGTAAGAGATAACCAACTATTTCTTTGAATTAATATATAATTTACCATGCCACTGTAGAAAATAAAAAACATAAAACAAAAATGTAAAATAGCAAAAACAAAGAAGAAAAACATGAGAAAAAAAGAAGAAAATGCAGCAAACCAGTCTGTCTTTTATTTTTTATTTTCAGCTCGTTCATCGTTGGATCGAGCTGAGATTTTAATGTAACTTCTAAACATGTTACTTTTCCTTCTGAATAGTTGAATCGAAGATTGATAATATAAAAACTGATCGTTTTAATAGAAAACAAAGTTATCAATGTTGTAAATTTTTATATGTTGTAACCCTTAATTAAATCTGAAAAAGAATAATTTGAACTTATTATTTATTAATAGTGAAAGTTTTTAGGAAGATTAAGATTACATAATTTTTTCCACATCGCCTTTTCTACATAAAAATCTTGATGGTGATTTATGTAATTGTTGTATTATATTTATTGATTGTTTGATCTGATTTTAATTATATAAGAAAAAAAGAATTGAAACTTGTGAATTGATTCGATTATATTAGTATCTTATTATTTGTTTTTAATTTTTCCAACAACATGAATATTAATTTTAAAATTAGTGAGATTAGTTGAGATACATACAAGCTAATATTTATTTTAAAAAAAAATGATTTTTATCCAAGAAATGGAAGTAATAATTTTGAAACAACCTGTGTTTTTCATACGAAATGGGAATACTTAAATGCTTACGGAACAAGGGATGAAAATTATAGACATGACCGCACCCATTGGAAGGTCAATCAATTCGAGAAGCTTTCCATCAAATGATATGCATTTGATCAAAGAACACAAATTTTATCCTTATCAATTATAATTAAAAATTTTCTCAGAGCATAAACACAAAAACTACAGCAATACCAAAATCTCTCAGTCTAGCTTTGTAGGCTTCACAACACGGCTCCCCATTCTCACTACTATTCCATCAATATCACGCACGTACCCGACCCTCTGTCCCCATTCTTTGTCCTCTGGTTTGCTCACCGGGATAGCACCGTTTTCCACTGCCCTCTGTCATCCATCGTCGTGAATAAATTATATATAAAAAACCGAAGCCATAAATTCGGCCCGATGCCCTAAAAAAAATTGATATCGAGATAAAACTTCTATTTTATATTAAAAAAAATTATTTTTAAAATCAAAGAAAGAAAGAGAGAAATGAGAGATGAAAACGCATGATACCGAAGGAGAAATCTACCTTGTAGGCAGCATCGACGTCCGTATAAGAAAAACAAACCTCCATGGGTGGTCTCTCCCGGTCAGAATGGGGAGTCTGCACTGCACCGCTTCGGTCATCAGTCTCGCGTTGGTGAATCGGAGTGAAGGCTATCGTGGTCGGCCCGCTGTCCAGCTCTCCCCATCTATTTTCGAAACAAAATAGTAGATCTAGTTAGCATTGAATAAACAAATAATCAATTGAATTAATCTTAACTTCATATTGAAATAAAATTAGAACCTGTTAGACTCGTCTAAGCGACGAACATGATAGCCAAATGCTTTAGCATAGAAAGCAACGGACTTGGCTACGTCCTTCGCGTAGACTATCGCATAGGCATATTCTGGGCTCAGATTTGATGCCATTGCCGGTGTACTCCCTCTCTCGCTCTCCTTTGCCTCTGGTTATTGTGCTGTGCAAGCCTTTTCTTTTTCTTTTTGATAAATACTGCGCCAGCTAGCTAGGGAGAGAGAGAGGCTTCGTTACTGAATCCGCGATGGATTAGACACGTAGTCAACGAATTAGTCACACGTGGGCTTCGTGCATGTCTAAATAAATCGCACGCTTTCAGCTTGGAGCACCTGGCATCATGGATCCACTTGGCAGAGAAATTGTTGTCAGTGGAAATTCGTAATGCCATGGAAGTCCACGTGATTTTGAACTGCTGTCTTATTATTTCAATATACATGTTGTACTGTTTTTAAAATCAATGTTCTACTGTATTTAAATTTAATTAATAAATAAATTGAGTTTATATATGTAAAAGATATAAGATTCAAATCATTTTGTTTTTTATAATCTCTTTGTTTTTCTCTTATTCCTTTCAAGTATCTCTAAAATAAATAAATAAGTACGTCTATTTTTGAAGAAGTTAATTAGTTTTGATATTACTTTATTTTTAGTGTAATAAATCAGAAAAATGATATCTAATTTACTTTTATACCATTTAAAAAAAATTAAAATTCTATTTAAAATTTAATTTTGAAAATTTAAAATAGTTTCATTTTCATTCCTAAATGTTGAATGTTTATCGACTAGTGAATGCCACGCGGCGTTAACTTTAACGAAAAACTCAATAGAATTTTAAACCCAGATACTCGTTTCGAGCTACAGTGAACGACACGATTTAATTATGGATGAAATCAGCACATTGGTGGTTTCCTCCACTGTTCAATTGTGGATCAATTCAACAAGATTTTTTTTCCTACACATAACTATACTTCACACAAAGGGGATAATATTATATTAATAACAAGTGGTTATTTATTATTTTTATTTTTATAATATCATATTACCAGCATTATTAAAATCACAACACCAGAACTATCATCCTGTCATTGATATCTTTCCAGCATTATAATCATCGTCATTATATCCTCATGATTAATGAAAATAATCTAAAAGACATGAAGAAAGTATTATACACATATATATTATTTACTTTTTCACATTTTTCAAAATTTTGTTATAGTTTTTCAATTTTAACCTATAACTTCTTTTTTTTTGCACAATTAATCATTTTTAGACCTAATTCAAGTTCAATTTGATTATGAGAACAAAATTAAAAAAGATGTCATAAATAAAAAAAATTCAATATTTTTAAAATTCATATAAAAAATTTAATTTAATTCTCAAACTTTATAAATTATATATATTCGATCTCTCAATATTTTTTTAATTTAATTTTAATATAAAAAGATATCTTTTTATAGTTTGAAAGATAAGAAAGAGATATTATCAAATTTTATTGATGCAAAACATAAAAATGCTATGAAAATAAATTTAAATAATTTAAATAATTAATTTTTATGCTAAGTCACTTCACTCGATGAGAAGAGTTCAATCTACATATTTTTTTTCTAACCATGAGAGTGTCTAAATATGTTTTTTAATAATAAAATTATTTTGTTACCCAAAAAAGCAAAAAAATATACATGCCTTTGGTTCAAGGTTTTTTTTGTTTTTTAAATATTATCTAGATAATAAAATTATATTAATACCTTTAAAAACAAATAACAATAAAACCTGCATAAGAAGACATTTTTTTCTGTTTATTTTTTTATAAATAATTAAGTTACGTAATTGCTTTTAAATTCAAAAAAGAATAGAAGCATTGTTCCAAGGGTAATTTTGTATTTTTATTATGCTTTTTTTTTTTTGTTGTTGAAATAATGTCCTGTAATACCCCATGTCTCATTTGGAAAGTCGATTTCACTACCAATTACAAGCTTTGTTTGTTTGTTTGTTTAGATAGTTCAAATTGAATCCACAACAAAAATTAGTTTTTCTAGTATATACATGCCATAACCATAACTTTCATCTTACTTCTTCGTCACTAACTCTTATTTTAATATTATCATTAACTTTGTTACTTTAACCGTCATTAGCTTTATAACCTTTATAAATATATATAAATTTTACAAAACACGTGTAAGAAAACACTTTCACTAATCCGTAATTTCTTAAGTGCGTGAATGTTTTTTTAAAAAATATATTAAAATAATATTTTTTAAAATTTTATTTCAATACTAATATATCAAAACAACATGAAAATACTTCAAAAAAATAATTTGAAATAAATAAATAAATAATTTTAAAACATAAAAGCATTCGGACACAGAAGAAGAAGGCGTTGTTGTGCTGCCCAGAAAAAAAAATCCCAAAAGTTCGATCGAGTTTGGGTTCAAATTCTTTATTAATTGTTATTGGAGCTTTGTGCCTTTATTTGCTCCCAAAGTGCTGGCTCCATAAGTGGTTTCAATTCAAAAGGAATAGGGTACTCTCCCGCTGCAGGATAATACAAAAAAAAAAAAAAAATCTAAGAATGTGAATTCAATAAAAAAATTGACACGGTGATGTAATTACAGGGATTGAAAGTTGAATAGAGAAAATGAGAGGATCAAAATGAATTTTTGAATTAAAATTTAGATTTGTAATAATTTAGTTTTGACTAGAAAAGAAAAGGGAAACTAAAAACTTTGAGGACCAGAATACTTAAAAACACACCTCCTGTACAATGGAAAAAGAAAAGGAGGCTTTATTTTTTGTTTCAATTTAAAATTTGATCCCTAGAGTGTTTTTACTATATGTTATAGTTAGTTTTCTGACTCACACTACACTGAAGGTTGAATCAAAATTTTATTGAACCTAAAAAAAATATTTATATTGCAGCAAATTTTGTGGTATTGTCACTGAACCTAGATCAATTTTATAAACTCTTAGTTTAACTTCTTTTATGACTTATATTTGAAATTAAATTATGTAAAAATTATTTTAATATAATCCAATCGACTTAATGAATCTAAATATAACTTGAATGATCTTTAAAAAACATAGTTTAACTTTAAAAAAAAATTATTATGACATATTTTTTTTAGTATTGAAACAAACACATACTAGAATGACCTGGATTTCATGGCTTAACCTGCAAAATCAATGACTTGGATTATAGATTTTATTAGGTTTAATATTTTTTTTGAACTAGTTTTTCCTTGATAATATGGTAACAAAAATATATGCTTGTAAAATTAAGGATCAACAAAATGTTAGGGTGTTTGTTTAAAATTGTAATAACCTCATAAAAAAACAAACTAAAATAAATTATGAATATCGATACAAAAACAATTAAATTTTAAAGGATAAAATTGATAAAAAAAAATTAAACAAGAATCAATTGAAAGATAAAATTGGAATATGGAATTAAAAAAAAATTATTTAACATTGTTTTTAAATTCAACCTAGCTAGTTGTCTTTAAAACCTTTTAACCCGATTTCTTAGTTAGTCTGAGTTTTAAATTAAGTTGCATATGAGGTAACTCTAGGTACTTAATTGATTTGACATATTAAAAAATAATACAAACTACAAGTAAAAACATAGTTTAATTTAAAAAAATAATTAAGAAGGTGTTTTTTTTAATATCAAAACATCAATATATTGTATCAATCTGGGCTTCATAGCTCAATTTGCAAAACTCGTGACTCGGACAATATATTAAATTAAGTTTTTTAAAATTATTTTTTATTTAATAATAATATTACAATAAAAATAAATGTTTGCAAGAATTTGGCACCAACTAAATATTAAAATATTTGTTTAAGATTGTGATAATTTATTAAAAATTAAATTAAAATGATTAGTTTAAAATCAGTAAAATGTTTGAGATAAAATTTTAAAGAAAAATGAAAGATATAATAATATAAAAGAAAAGTTTGAAAGAAAAAACAACATATGACATTCAATTTTGTTTTTTAGTTTTTATTAACGTGTAGGTATATAAAAACTGCGCAAAATGCTACCTTAAAACACAGTAAAAATGAGTTAATATGGTTATGGTAGAAAAATACAATTGCTTAAAATTTATGTAATGGAAAAAATACTCTGCCGTTCACAAATTGCAGTATAAATCATTACAAAAGTAATAAGAAAAACCATTAACGCACGCTCTATGAACATTTACCCCTGTTGAGAATTTAATCATAATTCGTAAAAATAATCAAACCAGGATAGTTCCAGAAGTTTCTCGAGTTAACTATTTGTCTCGTGTTGCTCTCCCTCCCTGCCAGCAACAGTACCTTCTTTATTATCCTGTGTCGGCTCAAACAAACGAATTTGGCATGGTGTTTTGAAAGTAATTTTAAGAGAGGTGCTAGTCATCCACATAATCCCTGTATTATAGCGAAGTGTCTCCACTACAGAACCTGTTTACAATCAAGGTCATTATTCTTTGATGGTGTTATCTGTAGCCCTTCTTGTCACACTGAATTGATAATACCTTTCCTGCTGATTGAAATGAATGACTCTGCATAGGTCTTTAGTTTGCAAGAGGGGAAAAGAGATAAAAAGGTATTATGTTTCGCATAAACCCCATCATTAAAATAATTAAGAAAAAAATTGATTAAGCTTTGACATATTCTTTAATATTCACAAATTTGAGTCTCATTATAACTATTAAAAATTTATGCATCATATAATAATAGCATCACCATATTAATTAGTAAGAAATAACCAATTATTTCTTTGAATTAATATATAATTTACCGTGCCACTATAAAAGATAAAGAATGTAAAACAGGATTGTAAAAGAGTAAAAATAAAGAAGAAAAACATGAGAAAAAAAGAAGAAAATGTAGCAGAGTAATCCGTTTTTTTTTCTTTGATTTTCAGCTCATTCACCGTTGGATCGAGCTAAGATTTTAACAGCAATTTCTAAACATGTTACTTTTCATTCTGAATAGTTGAACCGAAAATTAATGATATAAAAATTGATTGTTTTAATAGAAAACAAAGTTATCAGTGTTATAAACTTTTCTTAAATATGTTTTTCTTTAATCTTATTATATTATAAGAATAGGCTATTCTTTTTTTTTTGATAACCCGAGGTGTCCGGGTCAGCTTACGTGCAACACAACTAATCCCCCGCCCTACTGAACATCCTGCA